ACTTCCAATTTTCCTAGATTCATGCTTCATACATTCCATGTTCTGATTATTAATGGATGTTTGCAGCTGTTTCTCCTCAATTTGAGTCATGCCACATCAGCAAATGGAGGTCTTGAAAGCTTTACCTTATCCATATCATTAATGCTGGTTCTACTCTGATGATGCAGCTCTTTCCTGGTCCTATTTTGAGAGTCTTCCAACCTAAGTGGCTTATCCTTCTGCACTATATCGGACAACGTTTCTGGGCTATTCATAAAGTTGCACAGAAATGTATCAGACAGTATTTCTCTGCTATTCATAAGGTTTTCCCTGGCCAATTCTTTGAGAAGTGGATGGCCTCCTGCTTCTTCCTAGTCTGTCTCAGTCTGTAAGCTGTTGAAACCTGTGCACTATGTGCAACCCTACTGGGTTTAAGACACCGGTGGCATAGCCTCAAGCCTCACAGCAACATGCCACCACAGTAGGACAAACTGACAAAGTTTGTCTCCCTTAGCTGTTCAAAACCCCTCCACCCTCCCTACCCTCCCTACCCTCCCCCTTGGAAGGGGCGTGGCCTGGGTCCCCAGCCTTACCTGAATGCCTGCCTCTGCTTCCTCTCTCTGTCCTGGTCCCCAATCCGCCCCCCAGCTTTTTCTCTGCTTTCCCTGGCTTCGCTGCTTGGGAGGGCTGTGGCCTGGGTTCCTGGCCTTACCTGGATCCCTGCCTTTGCTTCCTCAGTCTGTCCTGGTCCCCCACCCCGCCCCGGTTTTTTCTCTGTTTTCTCCAGCTGTCCGGCTGCTTGGGAGGGCCGTGGCCTGTCCCTGTCCTTACCTGGATCCCTCCCTCTACTTCCTCCATGAACATGTTGTTGTTGTTGTTATATGCCGTCAAGTCGGACCCGACTCATAGCGACCCCTCCTTGGATTTTCTGATGCAGTATCACTACGGAAGTAGATTGCCCAAACTTCCTTCCAAGGAGTGGCTGGTGGGTTTGAACTGCCAGCCTTCTGGTTAGCAGTCATGTGCCTTAGGCACTATGCTACCGTGAACATAGGTGTGTCTATATCTATAACCAGTTTCGCCAGCACCATTTGTTAAAGAGACAATCTCTTCCCCATTTAATGGATTTCAGCCCTTTGTCAGGGTCAAGGACTCTTGATTCCCACACTTACCTGAGTCCCCCAGGTCTCCCTATCTGCCCCAGGGCTGCTGGAACCACTGCCTGAACTGCCTGCTTGACTGTGGGAGGGAGGCGGGAAGGGCTTGAATCTCAGCAGGGAATCCTGTAACTCCTGGACCTGGAAGTGGGAGTGGGAATGTCAGGCCTGGGAGCCCCGGCTGTCTACCATCCCTTTCCAAAGCCTGTTCCTGGGGCCAGCGACAAGAATCCCAACTAGAAAGCAGAAGCTCCAGATACTCACCCCACCACATCCCTCATTATGCGACCTTGGAGAACTCCCTTAGCCACCCAAGACTTATCTTTCCCAACAAGAGAATGGGTCCCACTCCTTGTTCTGGGTTCCTGAAGCCAGTTAGTCCACCTTGAAGATGGAGGGCTCCCTCCCCATGGTTATCATCCAGTCACATGGTTTTAAATTCCATCCACATGCAAAGATGACCACATGTCTTCCTCTTGCACTGAAATCTCCTCTGAGCTCTGGACCGATGGCTCCACGTGGGTGTCTCACTGGTACCTTGACCACATCAAGGCCCAAACAAATCAAATCTCCCAGGATATTCCCAGAAGGCAAACTTCTATTCACCCCTCAGTTAGAACTGGGGAGCTCCATTCTCCTTCCACCTGGAAGCCTGGCCGCAGCCCAGCCTCTGCCACAGCCTGTCCATCTCCCTCTTCCAATCCCTCTAGCCCTGAACTCTGGAGTTGTCTTCAATTCCTCTCTAGTTTCCGCACCCATTCCTGTTAGCTCCACCTTCAATATCATCCAGAATTTTCCCACTGTTCCCCATCTCCGCAGCTTCCTATTTCACTCTCCTGGATGATTGTAGGCGCCTTCTCCCTGGGCTCCCAACTCCCGCCCTTGCCCTCCAAATTCTATCTTCCTCTCAAACTCCAGACAGCACCTGTGAACACCTGAGTCACGGCACATCCCTCCTCTGCTCAAAACCCTCCATGGCTCCTACTTCATTCAGAACAAAAGCCAAAGTCCTAAGGAGCCCACCGGGTCCCCCTGCAAGCTCTGTCCTTTCACCTCCCTGCCCTAATCTCCCCTCACATGCTTACTCCAGCCATCCTGGTCTCTTTACTGTTCTGTGAACATGCCTGGCACACACCTGCCTCAGGGCCTTTGCACATGCTATCCTCTCTGCCGGGAACACTCGTCCCCCAGCGTGCTGCATGGCTCCTCCTCATCTCTTTCTGATCTTTATTCAAGTGTCACCTCCTCTGTGAGGCCTTCCCTGACCACCTCACTAAGATCGTAAGGGATCTTTGTTCTGTTCACCAGACTCAATGTTCAAGAATGTTATGTGGAATGAACAAATAAATGATGTGGCCAATCCAGGGCCTGCCTCCCTTCACAGACAGGCCCAACCACTCACCTCTCTCTGCAGCATCTCCTTCTCAGCCCGGATGGCCTGGAGAGAGGTCTGCATGCGAGCCAGCTCATCCTGGCGGCTTTCCAGGGCCAGCTGCAGCCAGGCGTTCCTCTCCGTGAGGCGGGCCACCTCCCGCTGGCAGCCCCCGGCTCCCTCCTGCCCCCCGAGGGGCCCTGCTGCCCCCTCACTTGTGCTCTCTGCCTCCACCGTCCCAGGACAGCTAGGGTGCTGCTGGCGCCACGCAGCAGCCGCCGCCTCCAGGGAACTCAAAGCGTGTTGGAGGGTCTGGAACACGTCGGGGACCCCAGGCCCTGGGGAAACAATCTCCTCACCCAATGGGGCTGCCTCTGGGGCCAGGTGAGCTTCCTCTGCAGGCTCTTGGGGGCCCTCGAGGGCTGGTGCCAGTTCCCCAGAATCTCCATCAAGTTCCTTGTCTGTTCTGGGGAGACCAAGCCAGGAGATTGAGCTAAAAAATGCAAATAATGCAACCACCACTGTGGGGTCAGATCCGACTCACACTGACCTCTCCTTGGGTTTCCGAGGCGGTATCACTACAGAAGTAGATTGCCCAACCTTCCTTCCAAGGAGCGGCTGGTGGGTTAGTCAGCCTTCTGGTTAGCAGTCAAATGCTACTGGCAAGGAATTCTGGGGGCTTAAACCTCAAGGTCCCTGGGAGGTGTGAGTGTAACAGGGAGCTGCCAAGAGCTGTGTGCTCTGGTGCTGGTGGTCAGGGGAGGCTAAGAGTCCAGGGAAGACCGGATGGGGGGGTGGCTGGAGCTGAGGAAGCAGAATGGGGACTCTCAGGAGAGGAAGGAGTCGGTCTTTGTGAGGGAAAGAAACAGCAGAGGGCGCAGCCCAGCCGAAGGCCTGGAAGTGAGGAACAGAAGGGCCTGGGGGAAAAAGGGGTCATCTGGGCTGGCTGGCAGACAGGAACTGTCAGTATCATACAAGGCTTTGAAAGTCAGGCTAAGATGGGCAATGGGGAGCCATGGCAGGTGTTTGAACAGGGAAGAGGCATAAACAGGATGGCAAATGAGAAGGAGATGCCTTGACTAGCGTGGGGGGCACAGACCAAGCGGTCCCTACCTGCCCTCCATGTCCTGCCCATCATCCTCTACCACAGGACTCAGCAGATCTGACTCGCCGTGGCTCTCCTGCAGTAGTGTAGGGTCCAACTCGGGGTTCCCAGTGGCCACCTCCACCTCCTCTGAACTTTCAGCCACAGGGTCCAATTCACCCTGTAAATGAACCCCCAGGTCTCTGCTCTGGGCCAGGCAGAGCTGGGGCCTTAGGGCCTGAGAAGCTGAGCATAGCAAACGGGAGGCACTCACGGGTGGAGGATGTCTCCCTCGCCGACTCCGGGGCCGCATGGCCCAGGAATTCATCGCTGTCCAGAAATCAGTGCCCACTGGGTCCTCCTTCTTCCTCACCCCCTGAAAACAGAGTCTGGCCTCAGCTCCTGCCTTGCTATCCTGGGCAAATGATGGTCTCAATTTTCTCTCCAGTGCAATAGGGCAGTGATTCTCTCTCTGGAAGGGCAATTCAGTTATCAATGTTGATTTGGTATATTTGAATACCTCCCTTGACAGGCAGCTCACTACCTCACAAAGGTCTCCTGACCACCCCCTTCTCTTTACCCTCCTTCATTTTTCACCATATCTTTGCCCCCTTCCTCCCTCCTTTCCCCCCTGTCTCTGAGCCTGGGACTAGGACCTCAAAGCCCCCACTCCTCCCCAAGACCCTCCTGAATCAGAGATTTCAACCATGCGTGCGGCCCTCTTACTCCCCTCTACCTCTCTGGTCCTTTGCGGGCACCTTAATCAGAAGCCCAAGTTCCTGAACACTCTTGGGGTCACTCTGGCCACTGCTTGCTCAGGCCTGGGCTGACCAAGGCGGGCCTGGGAGAGGCTGGGAAACAGGAAGCCCCCTCCCCCGGTCATGTGACCTGTTATTGTACCGTTTCCTCCTTGAGGACAGAGGCTTCCTCCAGCCCCAGAGTGGGACACGTGTCCAGCTCCTGAAATGTCAGCCCCTCCTTGTGTCAGCCTCCAACTCCACAGCTCCTCTACCCTTGAAATCTGAGTTTTATTTCCTCAGGTTCGGAATGTTCCCCTGGGCTGACGATGCTCTTTGTCTGGTTTCCCTGTGAGCTCCTCTTCTCTGCACATCCCTTCAGTGCTGGGAGTCACAGTTCTCATTCCACTTTGGTCACAGACAGGTGCAGGTGTAGAAATATCGAGCAAGTGATGCCTCCTTCTGAACCTCAGCCCCACTATCCGTAAATTAAGGATAAGTACTGACCTTTTCTTATAACATCATGGCGACTTTACCAAGCCCTCTGCACTGGGCTGGGCACATCAGGGAGCCCAATCATAACACATCCTCCTCTTTCTTCTCTCCCACTTCTCTGGTTGTCATACCTCGGCTTCCTCTGCCAAATTCTTTTTGCTTCACCACTGAACTGGATTCTCTAGAGTCTGGGTGGTTACTAAATCCTGCCCATTTTTCCTGAATCCAATTTGAATGGGCCTTCTAGTTTCTATCTGATACTCAGAGCCCAGGCTCCTCCCCTCCCACTTGGATACCCACTCAGCTCCTTTCCTAGGCTTCCAGGCCCTTCCACCCCATTCTCCACTCATGCCTCAAAGACGGAGATCTTATGTTCTTCTCCTGCTCATATACCCCCTATGGCTCCCCATTGCCTATGGGAGAAATTTCAAGCTCTTCAAGGCCCTTAAAAAGTATGCATGCTGCCTGCTTCCACATATACTCCATGCTCTAGCCATAACAACATCCCCTGTGGACAGCTGAAGGTTTTCAACTCTCTCATACCACAGGGCCTTTGGCAATGCTGTAACCTCTACCCGAGATCTCCTTCCTTCTGCATCTGGTTTAAATTCTTGTACAGAAGAATGGATAACCAAACTATGGTAACACACACAATGGAATACTATGCAACACTAAAGAATAATGTAGAATCTGTAAAACACAGCATAACGTGGATGAACTTGGAGGACGTTATATTAAGGGAAATAAGTCAATCACAGAAAGACAAATATTGTATTAGTTCATTATTGTAAAAAGTCAAGGATAGGTTTACATATGGAAGGAAACTTTCTTTGTTGGTTACAGGGATAGAAGGTATGATAGTTGGAGCTGTGTGTCAACTTGGCTGGACCATAATTCTGTGTGGTTTAAGCAATTATGATATGTGTTGTTCCAATGATGGGATCAGATGTATATGTTTTGAGCAGCTAATCCGTTGAAAGGGAGTTTCCTAGGGGTGTGGCCTGCTTCCAGTATATTTATGGACATCCTGGAAAAAGAGACACTCTTCTGTGGATCGGGATTCTGTTGTGCTGCCTACAACTGTCCATGAGCGAACAATCCACCATTCGGCCTGGAGATCCTGGATTCATTATTCATTGGAGTCAACAGCCAGTATACTGCCTGCCAACCTTGAGCTCTCAGCCCCTGCAGCTGCGAGAGTTGGGAAAAGTCTCCAGCTTGATGTTGATCCAAGAACTTTGGACTTACCACTTCTGTAAGTGTGTGAGCCATTTTCCTAAGATAAATTTCTCTTTCTCTCTCTATATAAGCTTTATTGGTTTTGTTTCTCTAGAGAATCCAGTCTAACACCAAAGGGGAGGGGAAAAACACTGCCCCCCAAAAAAAATCCTGTACAAAAGCTAGGGTCTGATTCTAATGACAGATCATGGGGGATTGGGTCTTCCTGCCTCTGTGTCTGCAAAGAGGACTTGGAGGTGGCATCTTCTAACCTACTCTAACTTCACAAGAGGAAGACAGAATCACCATCAGCAGCCCATGGCTTATTCCTATGAGCCAAGACATACAACCACCCTCCAGCCTTTTAACTAGTTTTGACACCAACCATCCCTCCCACAGTACTCACTACTTCTGTACTGGGTTACATAATTCATTTCAATAGCCACACAGAACCCACAGACAATATCCATCATTATGAGGTTCATTAGGGAAGCAACAGGCTACAATTCAGGTTCAAGAACACTCTCAGTATACAATTCTTCGATCAGGGCAGTCTCCCCTCTGCTGTGCCTTCAGACACACCTCTCTGGCGCTTGGCCTCGGCCTGGCTTCTGCCTCTGGGGGCCAGGTAAGCCGACGCTCTGTCTCATGCCTCTTGGTTCCACTGCCGCTGTCTCTCTTCTGGGGGATTTGTTGGCCAACGAGTCCCAGCGCAGGGATCTCGGGTCCAAGGATGTGCTCCTTTTCACCTCCAGGTCTTCTCTTGATGGCAGTGAGACCCCCTCTCTGGCTCTAAACCAAAAAAAAAAAAAAAAGTCCTGCCAAACTCACTGCCATCAAGTTTGATCTGACTCATAGCGATCCCTCCTTGGGTTTCCGAGGCAGTATCACTA